CCCCAAAACCCCAAAACCCCAAAACCCCACGTATTTCTGTAAAATTGACTAAAACTTAGAACTGTACTGCATCATTTTCTTCATTAATGTCAAATCTGGGAACTTTCTCTTCCTCAAATTTATTATGAAGCTTCTTCTTTTTCAATTTTTTCTTCTTAGGCTTAGTTTTAGCTTCAGTATCTAAAAATTGTGAGGATAAAGGATTCATACTCTTCTCAACTGGCTGGTTTGTCAAATACGAGCCTGCGATGTAGCTCGAGTGCTCTTGAGATTTCTCATAATACCTAAAATTACTTCAAAATCATACCTTTCAAATTGGGACTTTGATTCGATTCTTGATTTGGTCAGACTTTTGAAGATCTTTTGATATATGACTACCAAAATGGCACCTAGAGGTTACCCCTTTATGAGCTTACCGACTGAGAAGACTGATGCAGCACAAGTTATGAAGAATATCATATGGATCAATACACTCCCTGCAGAATCGCTGAGCCCGCCTTTTTCCTTACTTCTTGTTGCGAAAACCATCAAAGTTGCGATGGAAATCTCATTGACTATCAATTTTATGTTATAGGTATATATTTTGAAAGGGAATGAGAGAATTGTTCCAATCATGTATGCCATCTGCAGAATTGTCAGAAACATCACGAAATTAACATCTCTGATTACATGGTAACGTTTTACATCCACGATGCTTGCGATTGTTCAGAGAATAACAAATGCATAAATCCTTGCAAAGATTAGGAAAGAATACGATCGTGATTTCCAACTCAACCTCAAGCCACTGAAGAGATTTTTGAAGTATTTCATTTTTGAGAAAGAATAATTGTACTGTGACTTGAAATATTGCCATCCTACTATGACTAAAACTGACGAGCAAGCAAGCCAAATCATTGATGCAAAGAAGCATGATCCTCCTTCAACACCATCGTCATAGAGTCAGCTAGTAAATTCAGTGAAGCTGCTAACCATCATGACAGTGAAGAACAGCTGGAAGTAGGGAATATACATCTTGAATGTGCAATATTTGAAAATCTTTTCAATTGCATGCTCATGTTCTCTTTCTCCTTCCTAAAATTTAGAGTTGTGATGCTTACAAGCTTTTTGAGCTTTTGATCTCGATGATAAAGGCAGAGCAACAGGGCGTGGAATAGTAATAAGAGTACAAACAAAAGAGTATGGTAAGAGAGAATGCTCCAACTCGAGCGGTCATCTAACCCCATTATTTGTGTTAGCAAACAGATCTCCAACTCTCTTTCAAATTGCTTTCATCCTAAATATGTTCCAGAAATCGATTCTCGAGAGAGGAACCCTAATGGTAGCATCATTTCAGAGATTTCAGTAATGAATCCAAGGAAGTTTTCTGGCATTTCTGCATTCAGCATCCCCATCAAGATTACTACTTGGAGATACGAAATTGTCATTGTAAAAGCATTTAGAGATTGCTTTGTGAACAAGAAAACTATTAAACAAAGCCCAAGGTCAACTCCAACGAGGGCATATGTGAGGTATCCCAAAGACTCATTCATCTTTCTTTTGCTAGCACGTTCACAATCAGTTTCATCTGAATTTCTGACGTAGCCCGATTTACACTTTATGCATCGATCAGGAGTCTTCTCATCAGTGTAGGTTCTACAGACGTAGCGGTCTTCGATAGTCCGACAATCCTTGGATCAGCCATCGCCTGATTTCTCATTTTTATCATCACATAATTCCTATAGCTAAAACCAGGTTTTTACTCGACCGATGCGGACACCATCACCACAGATCTCATAACACTCGAAAGGGTGGTCAGGATTCCCAGACGAGTAATATTTATCACATTTTATCTCAGTGTGGTATGGAGGAGACCCGATGTATTCTTTGTAATAGAGTACACTGTTCGGAATCAGCTGAGCAGTAGAGATCGTTGATGAATTCCATTTCAGATTTATATGCGCCTCATCTGCAATTTCGATGTAGTTTATTCTAGAGATGAGTAGGAACTTACTGGAAGTCAACGTAGGTATTTTGTGTGAGGTTAACATCGAAAGAGCTACTACAGTTGCATGTCACTCCAAGCTGTGAGATCATAATAGTGCTGTTCATGTATAAGTCAGAACCATCATTTGACTCTAAAGTGAAGGTATACTCTTCAGTCACAGGCACTTTTATTACAAAGTAAATTGAAGCTGATATACTGTCCGTGTATGTGCCGAAGATTACTCCAGTGTTGTAATCTTGATTCACCTGAGGCCAAGTTTCGTTATGTACTGCTGGAGGTGTGAAGATTTTATCTGGGTAGAAGTTAACCAATATTTGATTTTGCTTAAACAAGTAAGGGATTAATGTCACAGTTCCTTCGATTCCGCAAGAGTAATCTGCAGTGTATGTTCCGTCTCCCTGGTCAGTCATAATGAAGTAATCAGGGGATATTTCCATGTCAGTTGCATTAGTTTTGGGAGTTCATTCTAGATATCCAGTGATAGTGCACTCATTCGTGATCTATAAATTATAAAATCTTCCAGCTTCAAATGTATTTTTGTAATCTAGCTTACACTGATAGCAAGCAGGTCTCCTCCAGTTGTAATATTGACTCCTGAGGCATCTTTTGCTTGAACTGTGGCGACAAGGGGTGTATAAAGTTCTCCAACTCCAACACCTATGAAACATTGAAATATCAAAGACTACCGTTGCCGAAGAAGCCGCTTTTTGCAGAGTCTATAGCGGTTGGAAGACTTCTTCTGGTCTCTTTTACTGTGACAGTTCCGTCTATACTTAACCTCTGAAGCCATACTTTGGAATTTAAGTGTGTAGGCTTGAAACAGGAACAGGATCAAAGTTGATAAAATTCTATTAAAATTCCCCATTTTATAGCTAATTTTTACAATAAATCTTTAATACTAAGGGGTTTTGGGGTTTTGGGGTTTTGGGG